TGGTGGGGATTGGTGTTTGTCGTCTGGTCGGCAGTCTGAAGATGCTGTTTGGTTTTGCACAACAATGCTGGGCTAGCTTGCGGCATGTGCTGTGTTGGAGTGCGGAACGGTTTCTTTTTTGCTGGTACGTTTCGACTTCACTGACAGGGTGCCTTGATAACATCCCTAAGTGTGTAGATCCTGCGATGTTGTCGCTTTAGACCTAACACTGGATAGGTCTGACATTTATGGTCATTCACACCTTAAATAGGTTGATGATACCAATTCAGGGTCATTCAAGGTCGTTTCCATGGCCATTTACTGCAATGCGGGAGTGGCATATTGTTCCCACACTGCATGCTCCTTCGGTGTCACATTTGTGTCCGACAATATCGCCATTTTGTGTCACGTCCGTGTCTCGTCGTCACGCTCTGTCGGTCCCGCTCGGCACCGTAACGCCCTGCTGCTGCCGCAGACGAGTTCGGCTTGCGGCGAGGAGATAGCCACGCTGGTGGCCATGCTGCAGGTGGACCAGATCCTGCAGAAGCCGCGGCGCGGACAGGCCCTGCTCAAGGCGCGGGTGGCACACAGGACGTTCGAGGTAGCTGGAGCCGTGGCTGGCGGCGATGGGAGTCCTGGCGCGCTGCCTAGTGGCGAGGAGAGCATTGCAAGACATTGGTTTTTGAGCTTTAACGAAAAATAGGAGTCATAAAGTTGTGATTTCAGTGTGGAGAAGCAAATGCCCTATCGGTAATCGTTACCAGTGTAGTATGCTTTACTGGCACGGGCTGTTACGGTTTCCTCGGAGTCGTGAGGCTGCACCCCCGGCTTCAAACGGTGTTGTGGCTGTCTGGCAGGTGGAGGAGGGGGACACTATCACATATCCTCAACATCTACCACTCAGTTTGTGAAGCGGAAGCGCTCCAAGCAGTGGTGTGATGAGATGTTTGTTCGCTACAAGGCCATGCAGCGTGTAGAGGAAATACGAGCGCAGGTGAGTCACGACAAACCTGTTAGAACGGAAGGTCGACCTGGAAGGCTTTCGAGGTGCGGGAATGCCTCTTAAAAGGGGTTAACGGAAAGCGCTGGGATTTTTGACATATTAGTGGTCGTTCGCATCGTTTCTCACGAAATTGGAAAAATATCACAACTTACATAAGATGCTGTCCATGCATGCTTGAAAAAGGAAGGCTGGGTGCTGGTAGTATGCAGTGCTCGGACGTCTCGCGTTGCAGGTGCTGAAGATGATGCGACACAGTGGCGTGGATCCCAAGTCCTGCGACGGTGAGTACCGAGGACGGAGACCGCCTCCTACCGTCGTCTTGCCATGCCCTGGCGTCAGCTGGCTAGGTGATGAATGACCAGCGGATGTCTGCCGTCGAGGCACTAACGCGTGAGGTGAATGCTTATTTCGAGGAGCTGTACTGTACGTGTCGAAGATGTTGCAAGGTCTAAACTGGACAAATGTTGATAGTGGTACGATGATTCCGATGGATGCTACCGTTCAGGATGTACCCACCTGCGAAGGGAAGCCCTGCGGGTTGCAGCGCACTGTGTGGCGTTCTCCCCGACGGTGCCGGCCGTCAGCTGTTGTAACGCTCGCTGCGGTGTCGTCTCGACTCTTGCGGCGCCGCTCGCCTCGCGCCGCCGCTCAGCCGTGACCGTGCGGGGCGCGCCGGCAGGGGACGTGGACGCCGTGTGCCGCTGCGTGGCGGCCGGCTTCTTCCCCAACTGCGCGTACCTGCACCACAGCGGCGCGTACCGCACCGTGCGCGGCGACAAGCCGCTGGCCGTACACCCGTCGTCGGTGCTGTACACGGTCAAGCAGCCGCAGTGGTCAGTCGGCGCCCGGCAGGCTGCCCGGGGCGGCCTGGGTCCGGCCGCGGTGGCGGAATTTGTGTGCGTGTGGACGTAGCCGTTGTGCCGACTGGAGTGCCGTGAAAAGACGTGTCGATTTAGTTGTGATGGAGATGGAGACTGAGAGGGGGAAGTAGCTAGTGCATTGGGCTGAAGATTAACGAATCAGGTTTTGCGATCGCGATGAATGGCGTGAATAGCGGGCATGCCCATGTCAGTAGCAATGATGCGTGCCCTTAAAGCATGGAATTGTTGTGGTTGTTTCTGACTCCTCCATGACCTACCGCGACCCCGAGGAGTCCACCCCTAACCTGCCCCGCCCCTTGACCTCCCCACCCTTGACCTACCCCCGACCCACTCCGCTCACCCCTGACCTGACGCCGCTACCGCAGGGTGTTGTTCTCGGAGGTGGTGCACACGAGCCAGCCGTTCATGAAGGACCTGACCGTCATCGACCCGGCCTGGCTTACGGAGCTGGCGCCGCACTTCTACGAGCTCGCCGCCGTCCGGGACTCGTGACCGCCGCCCGGGTGTCCGCGCGGCGCCGGCGCGGGCCGCGCTGAGGTCGGCGCAGGGCGAGCCGCGGCGCGGGACACCGCCCCGGTGGCCGCCGCCGTCTGGGAGAGAGCGCTTGTCCCGGCCGTGGGCGAGCTCCAGCCCGGCAGCCGTGACAGGAACTGCTTATTGGCGAGTGAGACGAGGGTCCGGACTGAGATCCGGAGAGCGTCCGCTCGCCTCGGTGCCTGACCCGGAGCAGACGTGGGGCCGTGCGGACAGTGCACGACCTGAGAACCCGCCTGGGCCCTGCCGGCCTCTGGCATGTCTCGTCTAACGTCATGGCGTGACGTCAAACGTGACGTCAGATAGGGCTCGTGCACCAGGGTTGTGTCCACGATGAGCTCTGCCGACTGATTTTGCCATGCTCACGAACACATGGACAATTTGAGCTGTCTAGTACCGCTTGACCGTCGTCCCATGCATCACGTAAACATCCCATTATCACGGTTGTGTGAGGTTTTTGTCATCCACGCGAGTGAAGAAGTGATGTGATTCGGGCGTGTCACCAGACATCACATACGCAGTGTCACATGCGATCCATCGAATACATGGGTGAATGTAACGCGTTGATCTCTTGGATATTGGGCAATGCAGGACCTGATTGTCGGCTTCGGTCTTCTTCTCTCGGTGACAGCGGCTCGAAGCGGTCGTGTATTGCTCATACGTCACCGTTTCAAAGTAGACGAGCACTTGCATGCTTCCATGTTGTTACCTTGATATACTGAGCGCTGGACGGGCATCCTTGCAACAAAGGTAAGCACCAAACGGACATGGAATGAGATGTTCGCTTATCAAAATGACATCGCTATCAGACGCATAGAAATTACAAACCAATTCGATTTTAAGCAATGAATGGCAAGCAGTCCAGACACCAGCGTTACCCATTCGACAAACCCATAGGCAGACGAGAAAGCAGCGTGCTATCACCGTACGATACAGGTAGTTATTTAGCGACAGATATGCTTTATATGATGCATAACGACAGGTCTTGGTTGCTCAAGACATTGGCTGCACTGAGTATATACGCATCACCCTCATACCAGGGCAGTGCGCACGTACGAATGTCCTGCACGTGGATCGTTGACACACGAGACGTCTCCTGGCTGCTGTTCATCGACTTCCTTCGCTGTGTCGTCCGGTGCTGGGACATCCACTTGCCCACTGTTTATTCCCCGTGATTATGGTGATGATTGGGGCATTCCGGCCAGCTTCGCGGTGAGGCCGTGTGACGTCCACACACGATCCCTGCCGCGCCCCACCGCTCTTGTGCTGCGTCGTCGCAGACGGTGTACGCGCTCACGTCCGCTCACGTGGTGTTTCCTACCACGCTTCTTCGCCGGGCGTCCGGGAGACGTGCATGTTCCCTGCATGTGCGCCCCCGCGCCCTGGGTGTCCAAGACTGCCGCCTGGGTATCTGGTGAGACGTCCGAGGCGCGCTCGTCTCCTCGGCGTCTCGGGTGCAGGCGTCCCCTGCAGGTGTCTGGTGTTGGTGGTGGTCTAGTGCGGACGCTCCCCGCCGAGCCTCGGGTGGCTGGAGGGCCGCGACTGCTGGCGTGCGTGGCCGCGCCTGCCCAGCCTCGCTCACAGGTACATGCCGTTGACGAGGTAGTCGGCGTCGTGGGCCAGGCCGGGCCGCTCGCCCTTCGCCGTCCGCCTCTGGAGGCACTGCGCCCGACAGACGGCGAGCACCACCAGCACCGCGCTCAGCAGAACACCTGGCGGACGGAACGCGCTCGGATCAGCACGCTGCCGACAAAACCGCGCAGAGGGGGCTCACTTTAGGACCAAACCGTCAATAATGTGCGAGAGAGAGGGAGAGAGAGAGAGAGAGAGAGAGAGAGAGAGAGAGAGAGAGAGAGAGAGAGAGAGAGAGAGAGAGAGAGAGAGAGAGAGAGAGAGAGAGAGAGAGAGAGAGAGAGAGAGAGAGAGAGAGGAGAGAGAGAGAGAGAAGGAGAGAGAGAGGAGAGAGAGAGAGAGAGAGAGAGAAGAGAGAGAGAGAGAGAGAGAGGAGAGAGAGAGAGAGAGAGAGAGAGAGAGAGAGAGAGAGAGAGAGAGAGAGAGAGAGAGGAGAGAGAGGAGAGAGAAGAGAGAGAGAGAGAGAGAGAGAGAGAGAGAGAGAGAGAGAGAGAGAGAGAGAGAGAAGAGAGAGAGAGAGAGAGAGAGAGAGAGAGAGAGAGGAGAGAGAGAGAGAGAGAGAGAGAGAGAGAGAGAGAGAGAGAGAGAGGAGAGAGAGAGAGAGAGAGAGAGAGAGAGAGGAGAGAGAGAGAGAGAGAGAGAGAGAGAGAGAGAGAGAGAGAGAGAGAGAGAGAGAGAGAGAGAGAGAGAGAGAGAGAGAGAGAGAGAGAGAGAGAGAGAGAGAGAGAGAGAGAGAGAGAGAGAGAGACGCGGTAAGTGAGACGCCCGCAGAACTCACGCACAGAGGACGTCTGTGCGTGAGTTCTGAGAACTGAGCTTCATCTTTTGCATTTCGTAAGAGAGTTGGGAGTGCGGTAAGTAATTCTTACATAGCAGTTCCACGAGTTCCGCTAGGGGTTTTAAACCCGGCGGCTCGTCAGCGGCGAGACACTACGGATTGTGTACTAGACGAGACGCGCGCCGCGTTGCACGAACTGACCGCTTCATGCACGATGTACACACGACACGAGCAACCCCGCATTGTGCATGATGCGGAACTAGACCAGATTCACCGGCGGCTTAAGCGCTGCCGGCCGTTCGATCTCAGGTAACTGAAATGAGGTCTAAGGTCACATAGGGCGCTGGCCCCAGTGGGGTCGCCTGACCTAGCGTGAGCACGATCGCCGCGCTCTGTGACTCGGTGGCCTGGAGCGCAGCCTGCGCGCGCAGCTCCGTCATGCTGAACTCCACCTCGTCCACCACAGGCCCTGACGCCTTCGTCACGGCCGGGGACACTGCCGTCGCTGCCGTGGTCGTCTCCGCTGTCGGCGGGAGAGCGGTGTAGGTCATGGGATTACTGGTGAGGCTGCGGCGTTCTTATGGCCGCCCGCTCTGTGAGACGCCACGCACATGGTTAGCATGCCAGTAATGCTCTTTTAATGGTTGCCAGAGAGGTGCTGAATTGTGTGGTGGTATGTCGCGCAAATCGTATGTTTGACTACTTCTTATATTTGATCATATTCACCTTGTTTTTCGCTGTCAGGTTTTGGGGTGGCGTGTGCCGTCTTGTTGTCGCCGCCGGCTGCTGCTGCGCTTTGCTCTGCGGGGGCCTTCTGTGGCGTGGGACGACGGTCCACGGACAGAGGTCTATCGGCAGCCGCCTCTTGGGGCTCTGGGGCGCCGCTCTGAGGAATAAAAAAATATATATGATATGATGTATCACCTAACTGCATGTTATGCTTCTCGTAACTGGGCGTGTATGATACTCGTGACGTGTCGCGTTAAATGTGCTACAGGAAGAGACTCCCGTCTAGGAAGATTTTGCAGCGGGGCGAAGATGGAGAGCAGCTTATATCATGTAAGATGGGACAAGTGCACTTGTCATGTACTCAAAAAAGGAAGAAGTTGGTCCTCTCCATTACATACCGGCCTCCTGGACCCTGAACCAACACTCACCGCATCTCCTCTGTCGCGCTGCTCGGACCAGGCCGCCGGCGGCGACGCCGTGAGACCGAGCTTCACTTGCGCGCCGCCAGGCGGCAGCTCCTGCGGCCTGCGGTCCCAACCGGCGGCCCGCTGCGGGGGCAGTAGGTCATAGCCCCGGTTGTACGGGTACGCGCCAGGCAGCCGCGCCGCCCAGCTCGGGTACATGTCGTCGTAGAAGACCGGTGGCTGGTACGCCGGTGGCGGCTTCTCGTACTGAGGGAAGCTGCGGACCCGGCAGAGGGCGCTCGTCACTGTAGAGGAATGCGCAGCTCTGCTTACAGTGTCAGACGAATGAGAAACTTACTTTGTTTGTTTATGCTTTGGTTTTTAATTTCCGACGTTGTGTTACATTAACTCGCGTCTGTGAACCCCAATCATGTCAAGCAAAACCTGTGGATTACTAAACGAAATTTTTGGCCAGAACGCCGACTCAAAACGCGGCATATCTGTCATGTTACAACATTGCAAACATTGCGCATCAACACTGGCGAAGCTATGCGCAAAGCACATCATTTCAGCTGAGCCATGCGTCGGTTCCCCACCGCAGCAGCGTCACCGCGCCACCCCATCGACCGACCTGGCCTGCTGAACGTTGTGGTGTGGGTGCGTGGAGGCGACGGCCGCCGGAAAGTGACTCAGTCCGGGCAGCAGGACCTGCTGCCGGTGGCTGAAGATGTCGCGCGCCGGCAGCGGCTCCGAGTAGCCGGGCTGGTACCGCGGCCGCTCCCACGACGACCCTGCAGCGGCGGCGGACTCAGCGCGCCGCTGGGCAGGAGGGAGCGATGGGCGAGATCTCGGGAGCTACAAGCCACAAATATGGAGTAAATGTTGCAGCAAATGGAGCACATTTTTGCCGTTTCCGATTCAGGGCTGGTGATACTTGTATCTGGTTCGTCGGCTTGCTTTTGGATTGCAACTCTAGTTCAGCTAGGGATCAGTTCGATTCGCAGTACTTACCCGCCCGACCCCATGCACTTGAGATGCTAGAAAGCATCCCTCCAGCTCGGCGAAGACCAAGTAAGGAGACATGTAACTCCATCGCTGGACACGTTTCAACGCAGGGACGTGAAGTCAAGAGAGATAGGTCGTCAATATAGGGATAATTGGCGCTAATCGATGAGCGTCTGGAGGCCACGTGTTCAAACCGAAGGATTTTGAAAATAATCGTTACCCTGACAGGCGCCGGGTAACCCCGTACAAGCTGTTCGCCATCTACCGCCGGATAATCCCGCACAAGCTGTTCGCCATCCTACCAGCCGGGTAACCCCGTACAAGCTGTTCGCCATCTACCGCTCGAAAAAGAAGCTGCAGAACAGCCGTTGTCACCTGGCACTGACTCATTGCTAGGTCATGACAGGGATCTCCGCGGGCAGCGTTGCAATTACCGCCATGCTGTTTTGAAGAGTCCGGCCGAGTCTACGTGTCAGGCCGGGCTCAGTCAGTGCCACTGAATTGGAAAGCTGTCCCAATGGTACTAAGACCTCGACCAACGGTCTGCCCTAGGAAGGTATGTCGAACAATGGACTGGCACTTTGTCAGGAGGGTGTTCGTGTTCAGTCTTCTGTCAGATAGCAATGAAAAACAGCTTTGGGGAAAGAAGACATGCACGTGGTATGTTGCCAAGAAAATAATTTGATGAATCAAATTAAACATGATGAATCAAATCCAAACATCCTGACCGTAGCTCAAAGCTGTCAACTCATGCCAAGTAAAACATTCGTTCGTGGCAGAATTTATTTTAATGCATTTTTTATCATTTAATGTATATTCTATCATAATGTATATTCTATCATGTATATTTTGTCATTAAATCTCATGCGTTTCCATCGCCGCCGAATCCCCCAGGGCACCTCGCTGTCACGGGTCCACGTCCGCCCATGTCCGCTCGGCAGATGGTGCCAGTGGTAAGAGGCTCCACTCGTTCACAGTCGGAGCGTGCGCAACACGCCCTCAGCATTAGCGGATGGCTGAGGGAGGCGTTAGTGCGGCACTAGTCTTGATCCGCGCCCCCGTACGTTTTCTGCCGCAGCCATCAGCTGGGGACGGTTGCGAACAACGAAGGCGGCTCGAGAAGGAGGCGGCGCCAGGCGGCGGCGGCAAATGCAAATAAAGTCATTGGTGGATTCTGTGGAACTGAGAGGATGACCATTACCTTAAAGCCACTAACCGCATCAGAACAGACCCGCCACCTATGAAGCGCATGTCCCAAAACCGAGTGACGTTGCGGCAGCCGCCAAGCTGAAAACGCGCTCCCAGTAGCGACATCAGTCACGTGACCCCGGGACCCCGATTCGGCTGAGTGCCCGGCAAATGCTGCCCAGGAAAGCTAAGCCAGACGCCCTTGGTGGGATTTGGAGCCAGCGGTAGCGTGCACCGAGCTAATGCGCTACCGATGTCAGCTGTTCGGCTGTACGGACAACCGGGCCTGGCAAACGCTCGGATTTCGCTTCACAAATCTCGCATCTCCGACTGGTGCTTTCGCGATTGCGATCAATCTGTACATCTCATGTGAATGACTTACATCTATCCGTCTAGTGGTTGGGTCAGAGCCATTAATGCTCGTAATGTCCTTGAAGCATCTTTGCTTAACGGAAGACCAACTTTTAAATTTTGGGTTCAAAGTTCTTTTGTAGAAATAATGACAATCAGTCTACCAAGACGGGTGAAACGACGTTGAAGGGTAAGATAACGATTATATTGACAGTAATTGTCATTTTAAGCTGTGCTAATCCCCGAGGGTTTGCCAGTGAACAACGCCTATTCAAAATAGAACACCCGTGATTATGGACTACTTGAACACCACAAGCCTGGAGTACCCTTCAGGACCAGAGATCCGTTGCAGGGGTGGAACCGGGGGGCCAATTGGAATGTGTAGGAATTCCAGAAAAACAGCGAAAAAGCAATGGCTCTCCTATTCAACCATGATTTCATGAAAAATTTAACCCCATCTGTAGTGCTTGCTCTACAGATGGTGCTACGGATAGATGTAAGTAGTACTATCGTATCAGATCTACCTTCAAGATCTGATACGATACTGGACCTGTACTTAGCCGGCAGGTTAACTTTCCTGGAGCCGCTCCTGGCAGCGAGTGGACGGCGACGGACCCAGTGAGACTGTTGATTAGAATTGGAAACTGAATGACCGCCCATATTCGTAATTCTTAAATAGAATCAGTTTGATACAAAACCCCCACAAAACAGCTTTTGCTGGTAAAATGAACTTCAAGCCTGTCGTTTGTTCGCTGAGGATATCGCTACTGTTGAAAAACATGCTTTCTTGTATTCCATAGCAAAATAGTTCCCGTCCATTGCCTTTGCAAATGCTCCACTAGCACAACGAACCTTTTGATGAAACCTCACCTGCATTCTCGTTGCCTTGAGCCGCTAGTTCTGATGCACCTTGGAGGGGTGGCGCTGCCTGTGGCTGTTCTGCGATATTCTTAGTTCCTGCGTTTGCTACTTGAGGTCGCTCAGTAATTTCAGATCCCTCCGTTTTTGAGGCTGCGACAAAGAAGAACGCATCGGTAAACGCTTATTCTTGGTTGGGATTCGCCGCACATATTTCCACACTTAAACCCAGCTCAGGAGTGGTACAATCGTTGAACAGTTGGGACCACAGCGACTACGATCATCGCAGGGTAATGAGCCCTTTGCCCCTGGTATGATATACCGTGCCCGGCGGCCAACGAAAGCGGGCTAAAGGAATGCACTCCAATTTTCTTAAATACAGTTAATCGTTTCTAGGTAGCTCACCACATGTAAGGTGGCTGCCTGCTGATAAATTTGACATGCTCTGGCGAGCAGTCATTCTGGTCTCAACTATCACGAGCGTTACGGAGGTGTATCACCGTCGGCCAAATATTAACATCAAGACTCGCGAGCCTGTCACTGCCTTCGTGGCCAGTGCTTCAAAGTTTCCATTCTGATTTCGACGGCTTTATTATAATTCTGGTACACTACCGATGTACCGCTTATCGATCAGGGTGAGTCAAACCACGCAATGTCATATTTTTCAACAGGTCATGCGATATTAACTTAAAGATGACGATTCCAAACAACGCGTCCTTCACGTGCGACGTTGGTGAGCCGGACGTAACCTGACAGGTCTGCGGCCATCACCTGGCCATGTCATCTTGTATCGCAACAGGACACATGACTGGGAGGCCGACGCCATTACAAAATTGTATCTGCGCTCTTCGGACATAAAACGTATTCTGACATAACGCAAACGCGTCGGACGTTGACAATATTTGACATTGTCTTGGCTTTTATCATTCCCCTGTGAACGTTCTATGATATGTTCCTGAAGTGGAACCTATCATAACATCTTTCAGTTACAGCATATCAAACATCCTTCGTTCCACACCAATTTAAAGTTTTATGGCTAAATGCGTAAAAAACGTACAAATTGAAGCAAGGCAAATCATTCATGCCATTTTCGGGTCAGTGCTTATGAAAGGCGACGCAGCTCACGTCGTCACGTATCCTTTTAAGGGGCATCGGTGACTGCGTCGGCCATAACAGCGCTCAGAGGCCGCGCCGAAACCGGGATTCGAACCAGGGCCCACGTGGAAGTCCAAGGCGTTAACCACTCGGCCACAAAACCTCCTCGTGTCCTTATCCAGTGATCTGACAAAAAAGTATGCAGCCCACTGGAAATACCTGACAATAGCTCATGCAGATGTTCAAAGCCGAGAAATTACCAGCAGTCAAAACAAGGTTTCCTAGCGATCGCTGGACTCCGGGGCTGATGCCTATTTGTGGAGGCAATTTGCTCAAAACACGGCTCCTGCCGAATAGTGCTGTAGTATTAAGGTTAGTACTGCCCGGCGATCACGAAATGAGTGTCTGGTATCTAATCACAAAGGCTCTTAACAGACAGACAAACACATACAATCGAGCGCTTTAGGACGATTATGTGTTGCTCGCGCCACTCAGCTGTGCTTACTGTTTCAGAGGACAGGCTTTGTGACGCCGGCAACTGAAATTACGATAGTAATTCGTAGCCAATTTTGAAGCAATATTGTCCCGGTCGACATCACGCCGAACCATGCTATGCGACGAATGAAATCCCATTATCACGCACAAATACACGCCTCGGCTGAGCCCATGCGAATTTCGATGTTACGTAACCACATGCACGCATAATGACGTAGTACATTTCAACTGACCTTAATAGGTGGCTTTCAGCGAGCGGCGGCCAACGTATAATCCCTCGGTGGAGCGATCAAGGCGACGCCTCAAAGAGGCAGCGGGGTAATGACCCACCCCTCCTCCGCCCATTACCAGCATCAGAATGGTACCCACTAAATTAACTCCCTGTTCCCAAATCCGGAGAAAATGAGAGAGGTTGGTGGATTATTGCTAATTGTTCACGCCTCTTGCTTTCCCAACCCGAATGTTTTGCCCATGAGCCTAAGAACGGTAGTGATTGCACTGGGCATAGCAAATATAGTTCGTTGTTTTTCGGGATGATGCCTTTTTTCGTCCATGCGCAGATTTCTCATTCTTCCGGGTCAACGATTTTCCATTGTTACACGGTAACACTTAATGTCCCAAACATCAACTGTCTTAAGATAACTATGCGTTGGCGCAGACCTGATAGCAGGAGGAGAAGCGACTCGTCCCCCACCCCCTCACCTGCCGGGCAGTCGAGTTCCGATCCCTCGTCGCTGGCGTCCAGACACTGCGGGATGCCGCCGCAGTCCCCTCACCTGCCGGGCAGTCGAGCTCCGATCCCTCATCGCTGGCGTCCAGACACCGCGGGATGCCGTGGCAGTCCCCTCACCTGCCGGGCAGTCGAGTTCCGATCCCTCGTCGCTGGCGTCCAGACACTGCGGGATGCCGTCGCAGGCGTTGTAGATGCCGATGCACTCGCCGCTGTGGCACTCAAACTGGAACCGGCTGCACTTCGCTCGGGATACTGCAACACAGATCGCCCGTGGGCGTCAGTGGTAATCAAACTGGGCGTGGGCTGCGCTGTGCCCCGACGCAGCATATCAGGCAGCCGGCGGCTGTCGCTGTCGCTCGTACTACGTCCGAGTCCGCTGCAACTGATGCGTCACCAGGTCACGTTTCCAGAAAATAATTCTGCTAAAAGCCATGGGTCGACAAGCGACACTCATTGTTGAGCTAGCTGCTGTCTTTCCATCTAGTCATGCCTACGTATCTAGTAGCTAGTATCTACGTATCTAGTAGCATACCGCAATGGGCAGCTCGCCAACTTACAACCTGTGCCTAAATCACACGATGAGCCAGCACATGACGCAATTAAATGAAATACCTCCATTGGTGAACGCCCCTCTTGTATACTAACTCACTACCATGCCAACGCGTGCCATATTGGCCACACGACACGTCCTCACTCCAACCGTGGAATAGAGCCCTGGTAGCATGGAGTAATAAACAGTCAGCCTGGCCGGTTGGGGCTCGTTATCCCCTTGATTGGGGCTCGTTATCCCCTGGCTTATGATGGCCGCGAATGAAAACGTTGTTTATTCGTTGCTGGTGCCTCCTAAATATAGCTGTGGACACTATTACGGGTACCCGCATTCTCAAGGCTTCGGGATCAACTTGTTTCCCACCATAGTGCTCCGTGCAAACGTGGAGCTTCATACACGATTTGTCATTTGACCCAAGACCAGGCATATCAAAATGCAAATATTGTGCCGTCTTACTTCTTCAGTGACGTTTTAATCGCTTTCAGCCCGGCATGGAGGGCAGGAAAGCGGGGGCCAAACACCCCCAAAGAAGCACAAAGCTCCGCCCACGGCTCTGCGTAACGCGCGTCACCCACCGCCCGCCCCCAGCCCGCCCATCTGTCGAAACGCGCTGCCATCAGCGCGCCTGATAACGGCGTTGGCGCCGACGCGCCGTGCCGTCCGTCGCCGCCGCCATTGTCGGCCTGTCACGGCCCATCGCCGTCACAATCGGCGGCCGTCCCCCCGTCGCGTGACGCGACCAGTCACTCACCCGGCGGCGGCGTCACGGCGGCGCGTGAGGCGTGAGCGGCGCCGTCACGCGGCGGCCGCGCGCGACACGCTGGCCGGCGCGCCAAGGTCGCCGGGTCAGGCCGGAGGCAGCCGGGTCACGCGCGGCTGGACGGGGGGTAGTACCGAGGAAGTCTCGAAGGGCGGGGGGCGACGTAAGTTCCATAACGCGGCTGTAAATACTACGAAGCTTTAACAATGCCTTGCGCGCATGTCTGGTCACTTGATGAATATCAAGCCTGCGCTGCTGGTCGTTAAATGGCTCTGCAACATATGCAGGCCGAGAAGTTCAACTCTGGATGCCCTGCCATTTCGCGTATGAGCCAGGGTGCCGTTTTCTATCCCTGTATATGCCCCGGTATTCAAAAAAGTTGAATTGGGCACTCGCAGCGAGACTTGTGTGCAGACAGTCTGAGATGTGATGAACAGAACTAATAAATGAAATATGCCCGGTAACAGATTACATACAGATAACAGATACCTTTCATATTTTTCTAAGAAGTCCGCGAGTGGACGAAGGCCTTACCACCTATGGGATGAATGGGGCACCCAGCCGGCCCGCTCTGCCCGTCACTCCACGACACGAAATTTCAGGCGGAGGTGCAAACTCTTCAGGGACGGAGCCAGACCAGTAGCCATATTGTGACTACAGGGACGCATCCGCTACTCGTCCCTGCTCACCAAAACACGTCGCTTTGTCCCACTGCTCCCTGCGGCTCCGCTGTTCCCTTGCTCTCTCGGAAGGCCCACGCTGTTGCAACCCTACCAGATTAAAATATCCCGAACGCTCTACATGCCTAGGTTTTTGTGCCCACAGACTTTGTCTAACAGACCTTGCGGCATGTTGCCTGAACCATCCATTCATAGTAATCCGATCGAATTCCTCGGATAACTTTTCCTACGGGCTTTTTACCAGGCATTGCCGCGTAGATCTCACGTGTCGTAGTTCGCACAGTACCTTGACACGACCGTTCGAACCAGGACCGATTGCACAGGACCTTGACACGACCGTCCGAACCAGGACCGATCGCACAGTACCTTGACACGACCGTCCGAACCAGGGCCGATTGCACAGTACCTTGACACGACCGTCCGAACCAGGACCGATCGCACAGTACCTTGACACGACCGTCCGAACCAGGACCGATTGCACAGTACCTTGACACGACCGTCCGAACCAGGACCGATCGCACAGTACCTTGACACGACCGTCCGAACCAGGACCGGTTCTGATTCGACTATTTGGTGAAGTTCTTCCACCACGCGTCGAATTCATTGCCCCAGGAGCTGATCTGATGCAATAGCTCCATGCAATCTTACCCCTAAGAAGCATCGAATTTTGACAGTGTTCCGTTCCTACATAATTCTGTCGGCATCGCGCTTTAAGACCCATAGCTTTAAATTTCATTGCAGGTAAGACAGGACTGCAGTTGCTCCTTGGCCAGTTACTAGCAGACCTTTCTTCGTAAGCCGGATCGCCGTTCGCACCGTATCTTGACACGGCCGTCCGGACCTGGTTGAACCGCTTTGGCTAGTTACCAGCAGGCCTTTCCTCACAAGTCAGGCAGAATGGTTGGCCCGCTCCTGGGCCCATGCCCAGTATCTTCGGCCTGGCGCCACATCACTCTCCTCCGCCAGACCACAGCTGCCACAACGCCGTGCTTGACAATGCTAGCAGTGCGCCGCAGGTTTAGGCTTTTGCTCGCTGATTTGAGTGGAGGCACAGACCAAAGGAGCTGAGGCGGTCCACAGTCCTTTATAAATCCCAACAACATACTGGCAGAGGCACAGTTCATTTGAGCGCACCGAAGGCCCTCCCCCATCATCTCTGCCCCTTCCCCAACTTGGGATCCAGCCCCTCAGCTTTGAGAAAAATGTGGTCCAAATCCGGAGAAAAGCCAATCGCTGGCATATTTTTTGGTTGGGTTGCGTCATTTTGCACTGCTCAGTCACCACCACTCCTTTTACAAACTACGTTCCTATACACTGGGCATAGGTCAAATTTTAAGTTGCTTCATCCAGGCAGGGCCACACCACCCAAAATGTTAGCACATTTTCTTACCATTAAGAAAAAAACCCTCCACCCGCAGGTGTCCACAGCCAACGATCTTCGCTTGTGCTGCGCTAGGTAGCGCTGTTGATTGTTGCACACAGTGACCAGCAGCCTAACATCTACCAATATCAAAATCAGCGATCCACTTATCCTTAGTTTTTAATGACCGGCTGTTGTCCCAGTTCGCACCTCGTATGGTGTTTCTCCTTCAGCGCCGATGCCGAAAATCCACAGCGGAATGGTGGTGCATACATGCAAGCGCTAAGCTTCCCGCGTCCCCAAGCAGGTGTTATGTGGTTGGCATGGTGGGGCACAGGCGTTCTAAATTTTCCTTCACTCAGGAAATATTTTTATTGTTTGCTCTTAATGGTCGTGTAATTGATCATATTTCAATAAGTTCGTAAAATGATAGATCCGCCATTTTGTGCGATCCTCGTCCTGAAGCCAGCACGGTAGTTTTAAGTTTGTCATTGGAACTTTTACGACGGACCCAGATGCTGAGGCTATGGCGTCGCCTTCCCCTCATCCTGGCAGGAAGGGCGGGCACCACGGGTAATCATAGTTTTGAGCTTTTCGCGCAATCAGTTTATACTTTCGCATCATAATGCTGGCTTTCGGGTGATCACACACGTAGATGGAGGAAAGGGAGGTCGCGAAAACACTGCCAGTTGCCATCAAGTCAGATAACAAATATATTGTTTGGTAAGTGGCGGGATCGAGAATGATAGCGCTAGGGCGGTTTTGAGTGATGCAGATATATAGATAGAATACATAGATAGAAAAGTGATCGTTAAGTTGAAATCAGCCACCTAAACCCTAAAACTAAGGTATCTAGCCGTTCGGGCTTTTAAATGTCCACAGAATGCCACCCTATGCGACCTTCTAACTTCCCCACCGGCGGCAGGTCCGGCAAGCTTCTGAAGCGAATGGCATTAGTAAATCAGCTTTGCTAACTTTCTGGCCGGCGGGCCAGGGGGTAGACTTAGGAGTTGGAAACTGTGTTCATTTCGGCGTCCACAACCACCTGTAGGTCCTATAATCGTCGCATAGCGAGAAGGGCATTAAATTAACTTAATGTCCCTCACTTTTCTATACTGTAAAGCCCTGCTGGCGGGAACATACTTAAATTTAATTCGGAATATTGACAGGTACTTACACTGTTAACATCCAGGCGAAATGACCGGAATATCTTTCAAAATTGACTCGAGGCTTTGCCGAAGTTATTCCACCACGCGTCAAATTCACGGCTCCGAGAGCTGGTCTGGTGCAGTAACTTCATACAATCTCATCGCTAAAAACATCAAGTTTGAAGTGTTCCATTTCTACGTAATTTTTTCGGCGCTCCACTTCAAGACCCATAACTTTATATGTGACTGCAGGTAATAGAGGGGTGCAGTTGCGGCAATCTAACACACCGGGCCTCATGGCTCAAATTGCGACAAAATGCATTCCTATACTGAACACTTCTGCCTGAAACCTTGAATTGTTCGATCGACACTTTATATTCAGCAGCATTCCTTTCTCAGAGTTACTTTTCCCTTTCGCTTGGAGCAGGTTTGGAAAATTGCACTTAAAGGAAACACCAATCCAACATGTGCATATGAGATGAAAATAACCCTGCAGAAATGCTGTGGTTTAAGAAATGGAAACTGCTGTTTAACAGAGGCAGCGCAGCGGGGGGGGGGGGTAGAATGAGGGCAGCAGTATATGTTTACCCCCAGAAGTATTTTGCTGGCTCTTTTGCACAAACCGAAGGTTTATAACTAACGTTATCTTACCAAAATTCAGATGAAGGAGGCCTCACAAGTGAGCTACGAGTGAGTACTAAATCGAGGATTAAAATGGAAAATCAAGCCCAGAAGATATGCCTCTTCCAAAAGG